TAAGGAAATAAGTTGTCATGTGTAACTGAGATGCTATTTTAAAGAATGTATGTATAATATAATTAAAATTTTAAGTTTCAAGTTTCCATTCATAGTTTTAGAATGTACATTTGTCCAAATATCTATGTGAGTCTTCTTATACTACTTTGTGGAATTCCTTCTATTGTTAATTAAATCTTAGCCTCTTATTTTAATATTTGAACATTTATATATTTTTTATACCCAACTAGATTGTATTCTTTGTGAAACCTGAAGTCTCAGTGTGGTAGTAAATTGTACACAACTAAAAATTATATTTTGCAAGTGGTCCTGTCAATTTTTAAGAATAAAAATGCCCTTTTGGGACTTCCCTGTTGACCCAGTGGTTAAGACTCTGCTTCCAGTGCAGGGGGAACGGGTTGAATCCTTAGTCAGGGAACTAAGATCTTGCATGTCATGCAGATGCAGCCAAAGAAATAAAAATGCACTATTATCTTTAATCTTTGTTATTAAATTAAACCAGTTTACAGACCTATTATGGTATAAACATATCAGGGTAACACAATGCTAAGTAATTGTGTCCAAATCTTCCTTTTACTTAAATAAAAACACCTTTCAGCCTTTTTCCTAAATAGCACTTTGACCAGAAATATTTAGATCTGCAAAAAATGAGTGATCTGAGTTTGAAGTCATTTTATTTGTCTCACTAACCCAAGGGGTTAGCAGTGAATAGAAAAGTGAGCAAAAAAAATGGAAAATTCACAAACTATACTTTTTAACTTCTGGAAAATAAAAATTTATTATGCTCATATTTGTTGTAATAGAAAACACATAATCCTGTTTCTCTCTCAGTACTTTTGCTTTGACAAAAGAGATGCCACATTTTTAAACTCAATGTGATGTCTATGAATAGTTGATGAAGAACATTCTATGGTGAACTGAAATAAATAAGACAAGGCTCACATGCCATCCACAAACATAAAACAAAGTAATGCATTTCAAATGGAATGGCTTGTACTAATATGGCATATATATTTTGATGATATTATGAAAAAAAATTAATACATTCAGAAAAAATGGTAACCAAGCAATGTAAATATGTTCTTACTGGTATAAGATGAATTTTCTTCTTCTTTAATGAAAGATTTGTGCCCGTTTTTTTTTTCATATTTCTGAACAATAATCCAAAAAACTTGAATTCGACCATATGTAATTCAACCAAATGCAATTCAACAAAATGCAACACTGATCTCACAGTGTGTGATTTGTTGCCAAACCCTACCCCCACTAAGAAAGATAAAATTTTTTCAAAACAAAATGTCCATTATGACCCATGTCAATTCTAGGTTATCACCTTTTCCAGGCAGCGTAGGTCCTTGGGCCTGGATGGAATCCAATCATTCACAAATTATTTGATCAGAGACAAGCAATTTAAAACAGTGTTTCTCAGAATTGAATGGGAAAAATATATATATATTCTAAAGAAATTTTTCAAGTATTTCAAAATATTCCAAAATTACTTAAAGAATTGCTTAAATGGACCCCTAAATTATTTTAGCTATACGTTTACAGAGACCCAAACATAAAAGAAAACATAAACTCCTTATCTTTATAGATCAAACGAAAAACAAAACTGTAAAACAACATATACAACATTATTTTAACAGAATGGAGGATAATATTTTGCCAAAGATAAAACACCACATGATAATGATTGGTAAATCATGGGACTTTCAAATTTGCCATATATAGACTGTCATGCAACTATTTGATTCTCTCATCAGTTTTCCCCATTTGTATTCCTGTGGTATCCTTTGGCTTTACATACCAAAGACAAACCTTTACACGTTAAATAGTTCTCTGAACATTTCTCATTTGCCTGTGGCAACTGAAATAATTCTATAGTATTTTGCATCAGTGTGATTGAAAACAAAAATGCAAACTTCGGCACAAATTTCACTTGGAAGTATTCTGTCATAAAGTGATTATCCAGAAGATCCAGGGTATATTTATATTATTTTTAATATTAACATTGAAATGAGAACCCAATCTCTAAAAATTATCATAGATAACTTGTGGATCTTCAAATCTGCAGACCCAAATGAAAACCAAAAGTTACTAACTTAATGAAAGTGCTTGCTTTCTTCATAACCTTGTGAAATTCCCAACTGGTGCTGAAACACCACTGAAACAAAGAAGTCTGGCTATATTGAGGTATAACTTTTTTCTTTATAAATCATTTGATTTTTTTAAAAATCACTATGTAGACAAAACCATAGTTCAGTCAGTTCATGACATATATCTAACAATTATGGCAAGACATATACTTTGTTTGTATCATCTGCATAGAAAAAGTCTGATATTAAGAGTTTGAATTATGAAATAGACTTCTAACCTTTTATTCTCTCTAACTGCTTTGTCTCCCTTCTTCCAAGAGATGGTTGGTTTTGGAGAGCCTTGGGGTTTGCACTCTATGATGACTTCTTGGCCTTTAGTAATAATTATTGCTTTCTTCACTTGATTCAGTGTAAAAGTGGGAGCTGAAGCTGTGAAATAGTAAAAGGTTAGTTCTACCACAAGCAAAGAAAATAACCTCTAATGGATGATTCACCAAGATTTGGCAACTTTATCTTTGGAATGCATTTCTAATAAAATCATAGGATATCTACACATATAAAAGGCACTAACTTGAAATTTAATTTATTATTATTTAGTAAGTATCTTATTGGCTTTTCTTTCCATCAGCAGGTGATAGTTCCATACAATTGTGAGGCCCAGAGACAAAGGCTGTTTCAAAGAATGAGATGCTTTAATTACGATTATCAACTTTAATTATGAAAGACTAATGAGCACTTTGGACAAAAGGTGAAGGGGCTGGACACAGAAGTCTATTTTGGGCTTCCTTTGGAAAAATGGAGGTTATCTGTATAGAAGGCAATTCTGTGTAGTCCATTTCCTATGAGTCTCAATGCATATTTTATTTTAATAGTATACAAAATTAAATGTAGTTTTAAAAGAAATATATTTTTAAGAAATTGAATTATTTAAATTTCAATTAAAATTTTATTTCATTGTTTGCAATTATTCATCTAGGCCTGATCATTTTAAGACAGTTTTGATTAAACTTCCCAGGAAATTCCAGTAGGTAGCTGTGGTTGAGAATGCTGGACTAAAACAACACATGACAGAGAGACAAAAACAAATAAAAAAAAAAAGTCACCTTTGAATCTTAAAGAGAAACTGGAAATATGTATACAAGTTTACTGTATCTGAGACATTTATTTATGCCAATATGACAATTTTATGAATATTTCATAAGTTTTTTATGTCCATCACATATCAGTATAATGCATGGCACACAACATTAAAAGATGCAACACACACAAAAAAGGTACCAATTGAGATGGATTAAAAAATTGAAAGAAAAGTTAAGGAATTTATAGGAAGATTGAAGGTGATATTTTTGGTTGCCTACTGGGAATATACCTTATTAAACATAATTTTGAAAATATGTCTAGTGAATGAGAAAGGGACACATTTGAGAGTGTTTCTGGATAAAACATTAACTAGGTGAAAGCTGAATCAGCTTTTTAATTCAGAAATGTTGGAGTATGAGTTGACAGGAAAGTACATTAATATTTGATTGGTTAGTATGTACAATATTGAAACATGGACTCCTATATCTATTTTGGATGGATTTGTGATAATGTGAAGAAATTTCAAATGTAAACATTCATTATTCAGTTTGATTTATGGTTTTTGATTTATCACACAGCTGATATGTGAATGGTGCAATTTCAGATTCCAGAGATCTTGGGTGTTTCTGTTAATGTTGTGCTTTGAGTCAGTGGAAAGTACAAAACACATTTAGGCTCCTGCCACGTTTGGGAGATGGTGCATTAAGATCATCTAAGTCTCCCTCTTTGTATTATAATCATCCCAGAATGAAACCTTAGAAAATCATGAGAGTGGGAAAAAGTAAAATCCATTCCAGGAACTGAACCATGCTCAATCTGGGTAGTTTATTCCCCTGGACTGAATTTTTCTTGTAGTAAAGAGTGAAGTAGTGCTAGTGTTGTGGTTATATTCTCAAGAGTGTAACACTATGAGCTTGCTGGCCTGGCCTCAGAAAGGCTTTCATCAACCTGGAAGGGTGACAACGGTTGATGACCCTTCAAGAGAGGACAATTTACTTAGGAGTCCCACCTTGCAGGAGCCACACACCTACTGGTAGGTAGGAGCTGCTTGGGAGAATATTAAGCACTGCTGTGTTGAAAACCTACATTCTGATTCCCTACCCTTAAAGCATTCTTCCTTGAAAGTTAACATACTTTTCTTATATGATTTTTTTTAATGCCATAGAAAAGACATATTGTATAAACCTGTTAGGATTAAAGCTAAAATTTAAAGAAAATCTTATAGAAAGTTATGGGATAAACTGTACACCATGTATACTTGTCTCCTCAAACTTAAAAAAATACATATCAGCAAGACATAGTATTTCTTTTCAAACCATAAAATAGGTTTTTACGATCACATCATAAACCTTCAGTATAGTAAGAATTAGAGCATGAAAAGAAGCAACATTTTTTTCCTCTTTATTTACTTAGAAATTGCATACCTAGAATCTTCAGCTCAGCACTCCCATAAATGGCTCCATATTTATTTTCAGCCAAACACTGATACATTCCAGCATCTGATTGATTCACACTGTGGATCATCAATACTCCATTAAACATCTCAACCCTACTCTGTAATGAAATAAAAAAAAAATAGATATAGAAAGTGAACAAATCATAGAGAGTTTACAGTTACTCTCTCCTAGATCAAGACAGAAAAGCCTCTGATTAATGCAATTGGACATTATTTGACAACTTAGGAACACAAATCTTCTGTTCATTATTCTAATATAACATGTTATGTAAAATACAACTATTTCTTAGTCAGAAACCTAATTATTACTACATTTTCCTGTAGTTATACTTATGAGTTTTACTTTTGTTTATGTTTTTAAAATAAGCTGCTTTTGTTTGGTATACTAGTTAAGCTTATGAAGTACAATCAGCTGATACTGCTTTTATTTGAATTCATTTTACAAAGGAGATGCAGGAGTTCAAATGGTAGAAGGATCGAGACTGTATATACATGGGGTCAAGGTTAAATATAGACCAGGTCATCACAAGAATCTCTTTACTACATTAATCCGGTCAGAAATTTGCCTTTTCTCTCACTTCCCAACACAGTAACACAAATAAAAAAACTGCCCTGCAACTGGATTCTGTATAGAACTATTGGTCAGACAATGTAAACTGATCAGATGAAACAATACAGGAAACAGGATTGAGCATGAGCAAACTGAGGTAAACTGAGGCCAAGAACACATTTGAAAAGCAAATTTTAAATTTAAAATGCTGTTAAACAACCAGGTGTCTTATCTACTTAATGTCAAACAAATCATTCTTTTAATTTTAGTGAGCAGTGCTTTGATTACCTATCAACGAAAATGCCAAGAAATTTGACATCATTTTAAAAATTAACTCATTCACTTAACAGACTATTATCTGTCAGTGGAATTCACTTTACTTGGATGTGAGAGTTGAAAATATAACTAGCACAGATCCCATCTCAAGGTTTACCTGATATCCCAGAGAATTAGAGAGAGACAGACAATGAACGAATATCTCAGGATTCCCACTCCCTCCCCCTCAGTTTTCCTTAACAGCTCTATTGTTCTTTTTATTTGTGTCTGTCTTTTTGCGTAACTGTGTTCTCTTTTGGACTAACTGGCTTTAGAATAAGGGAATATTGGAGATGGATGGGACTGTGGGAATTATCTGATCCAAACTCTTCATTTTACAAAAGAGCAAACCAAAGCCCAAAGAGGCAAATGTCAGACGAGATCCTTTGGTAATGGCAGGACCTGGGCAGAAGCTGTGTTTGGAATTTCAAACTTTCTCTCTCTTTTGTCCATAAATAGTGAACTATTCCCATTTTTCCCTCCTTCATGGAAAGGCCACAACAAGGGAAAGA